TGGGAGGAGATGGGTCTACTTTATTTTAAAGCCTTCTTGTCTTCCTATGACTTTTGTGAGTAGGAACCACTTTGACCGTCTATTAACAACTTTGCTTTTAGATGCTGAAACCCTCTTTCTTTAATTCTCTTTTGGTTTTTAATAACTCCTCTCCTGCATGCATTCCTTTCCTTATCCACTTTTCACAACCACAGGCAGTTTTCAGATGTTCTGATGCTAGAAGGATTTCAATTATTAAAAGGTCAGAAATCTTTGAATTATTTTGCAGGGAAGATGTGTCACAAATTTGAAAATGATTGACCAACACTCACAATTCCCCCCTACTGATTTACCAATTCATTTCAAACTAAAAATGAATTTGGCATCGCAAAGCCTTTGGAGGTTCTTATGGTAACTAAAATCCAATCAGTGCTGGTTGAATTCTTACAGAAGAATTAAATGTTTATTCTTTTTCTCCAGTAGGATAGAAAAAAAATGCTTTCTTTGATCATTACATTAGTTGCTTACTATCTTCTAATTACTTGGCTATAACTAATTTAAATCACAGTGAAGCACAATAGGTTTTTGATGACTCAATTGTAATTACTGAAATAAAAATGTTTCCATTTTTCTGTGCAAGGCTTTAGGACTTTGCTTCAAATTTGTCATTTGCCATAAAATATGTGTTCATCATGACTTGCTGAATCAGAAACATGGCAAGCTGAGGATCCACAAATGCCTGAAGCAAAATTATGAAGTGGGTGGTATTATCTTTGTCAAGCATCTCCTGAGGTTAGTACCTAATATCCTCACACATTCTGTGACCTTGTGGTATTATACACTTACCACCAGGCCTATCTTTGGTCAGCACTCCTATTTTCTACATTTTAAATTACATTTCTTGTCCCACTGTCAGCATATACCTCCCTTGGTTAGCTTAGAGCCTTCTGATCCCAGGAGGGAAGTTTAGTAATCATACTGAAAGTTAATGTGGGTTGGTGCTGCAGCTCACTTGTCTAATCCTCTGCTTGTGGCACCAGCACCCCGGGTTCTAGTCCCGGTCGGGGCGCCGGATTCTGTCCTGGTTGCCCCTCTTCCAGGCCAGCTCTCTGTTGTGGCCAGGGAGTGCAGTGGAGGATGGCCCAAGTGCTTGGGCCCTGCACCCACATAGGAGACCAGAAGGAAGCACCTGGCTCCTGGCTTCGGATCCGCGCAGTGGGCCAGCCGAAGCAGCCATTTGAGGGGTGAACCAATGGAAGGAAGACCTTCCTCTCTGTCTCTCTGGCTCTCACTGTCTAACTCTGCCTGTCAGAAAAAAAAAAGAAAGTTAATGTGGGGTCAGCACTGTGGTGCAGCTGGTTAAAGCAGGGCTTGCGCTGTGGTATAGCGAGCAGGTAAAGCTGCCACATGCAGTGCCAGCATCCCATCTGAGCACTGGTTTGGGTCCAGCTGTTCCATTTCCAATCCAACTCTCTGCTATGGCCTGGGAAAGCAGTGGGAGATGGCCCAAGTCCTTGGGCCCCTGCACCCGTGTGGGAGACCTGGAAGAAGCTCCAGGTCCCTGGCTTCAGATCAGCTCAGCTCTGGCCATTATGGTCATTTGGGGAGTGAACCAGTGGATAGAAGACCTCTGTCTCTGGCTCTACCTCTCTCTGAAACTCTTTCAAATAAATAAAATAAATCTTGTTTTTAAAGAGAAAGGAGAGGCAGAGAGAGAGAGAGGTCTCCATCTGCTGTTTCACTCCCTAGATGGCCACAATGGCCAGAGCTGCGCTAATCTGAAGCCAGGAACCAGGACCTTCTTCTGGGTCTCCCACGCGGATGCAGAGGCCCAAGGACTTGGGCCATCTTCTACTGTTTTCTCAAGCCATAGCAGAGAGCTGGATCAGAAGAGGAGCAGCCAAGACTAGAACCAGCACCCATATGGGATGCTGGCGCTTCAGGCCAGGGTGTTAACCCGCTGCACCATAGCACTGGCTCCTAAAATAAATCTTACAAAGTAAAGTTAATGTGGCAATAACACTAGTGGTGGGTTATCATAGATTTGCTGAATAAAGTTCTTAAAAATTTAAAACAAACTGAAGAAGTACACACAAAATCATAGATTTTCAGTACCAGTGTAGGTCTAAAGGAGTCCAATAAAGAGAGAACTGAAACTCTCAAATTACACCCCAATGTCCATAAGCTAGACAAGAAGCTACTCTGCTCTGTGATAAATATGGTTCTTTTTGCTCTGCAGTGAAAAACAGCGTTGGCACTGAGAAGGGCACACCTGGTGGCCTCACCTAGCATTGTGAAAGCCCTTTGGTTGGTGTACTGCCACTTCATTTTAAAGGGGTGAACGAGTCCTTGGTGCCTTTCCACAGCAATGCAGGTCATAGTGAGAATTTCTGTTACAACAGCAGTAGACTGGACAAAGGGAACCATCTTGCAAATGAAGGCACCTATAGCGAAGAAAGAAGAAAAGTCATATATCAGAAAGAGTAAAATTTTTGTCTCTTTATAATGATCACAGTTAATTATGAGTTCTTGTTCAAAAGTTTCTGAACTATAATTATAGACACATTATAACTAGGATTTTAAGTTTCTAAATGTGTAACTGTGCACAATAAGGCAAATCAGATACATGAATATCTAGACACTGATGCTACATTTTCAAAAAATCAATGCGACTTTTGCTTGGGGAAGATCAAAGTAAGCATGAACTGAATGCCTGGTATCTAAACTACAAAAGTACCTCTGATCATTTTCCTGTTTTGGTACCCTGTCAAATTACAACAGAAGAATAATTCCCATCAAAAACTCCCAGATTTCTTTTTATTTTCTAATCCTTCTTTAACTTCCTGCTCAAGACTATATAAACTGATATTAACTGATTTTACTTCCTATAATGCCGAAATGTCAAGCTCCTGAATCTATCCTGCTCATCGCTCCAAATTAAACATCTCTGACTACAAGAGAACACTGAACTCAGAGAATATAAAGAATTAAGACAGCTCAGATGTCATGCAGTCCAAGTTTGCCCCCAAAGCAGGGGTGCTTTCTTCAATTTCTCTCAAAAAGGTTCTGCCAACTCTACTCAGATACCTCCAGAGGAAGCCTACTTGCTTGCATATTTCCTGCACAAGCATTTACGCAGCTTCTCCTTCTCATTCCAAGTAGGCATACTGTTCCTTAAGGTAACACTCTTATATCCTTTTTTTTTTATTTTTTTAAATTTATTTAAT